ACATTTAATAATGTTTCTTATATCATTAGGAACAACAAAGAAGACGCAATTATATTTATGTAACGACCTAAAAACATAAAATAACTGTTTTCAAACAGTATATCCTACGCATCACATAATAGCATCATACAAGTTTTAATATAAAAAAAAACCTGGAATACTGTCGCCGTTAGAGTCCGGATTGTCGTGGTTCATATCTGAACTGTACGGTGGCCGTGGATGCGTCCTCTACTTGCACTAATCTGCCACCACAGAAATTCACCAGGAAGTTTTCTTTCGCGGACTTTAAAGTTCATGTCTAGTTACAGTATTGCATAACTCCTTGCAATATAGTACTGTATTTCCTACGCAACTTGAATTGTCAAACAAAAGTACGGGTTCCTGAAAGGGGAGGGATTTGTTGTCTCTATTCGAAGCAACTCGTGCCTATTTAAAACCTTTCCGGTTGTTTTACCCTTAATTAAATATGTTTCTCTAAGTAGTATGTTTTAATAAAACAACAATAATAATTAACAATACCATTCATTCAAAGCAGTGGCAGTAAAAAAAAACTATCTTAAACTACGAACAAATACATGCAAAGCATAGCAGTTTAATTTGTCAAGGGTTTCCTTTAAGAAAGGTTGATGTAAAATTTAAAGTAAAAGCAGCACGGCCTCTCTACTCCAACACGCCTATATATACACTTGGCAAACCTTAAACTTTAAATGTAAAACCTTGAACCTTAAAGATTTTGTTTTTGATATCATCAGTTTGGTTTCTGTTAAAATTATATTACTGTACTAAATTATTATAAAATAATGCATGTTTTGCATTATAGACCCTTCTCTGATTTCCCATTATCGTGTGAAGACCTCCCTAAGACCAAAACTTTGCTTATGTTTGTTTGACCACCTTCCTCTATTACAGACAGCCATTAGTGGTTTTTTTTTTGTTCTAATGAAGGGTACATGTAACAGACACAATGAAAAGCACAACTTAAGGACATTAAAATCACTCATAATTAATATTTCTCTTGCCATTTCAGCTGTGGTGTGAAGAATTATATCATTAAGGCATCCAATTAAAAAAATAGTTCAGGTGGGTAGCTGCACCTGAAGAAGGCTCCACGGCCGAAACGTCGTGTCCTCTTTCTTCTTTTTTTCAGCATGGAATAAACCTATTACTTGTTCCAATTAAAAAAATGGCTAGCTAGAAGCTTTAGACTTGCTGGTTCTTTAACATGATGCAAAAGGCGAATCTTAAGTTCTACTTTTTAGTCTAATAACTAAAGAAGTTAAGTCCAGGTTTTCTGGGGGTTTTGGTAAAGGAAGCGGGCGCAGATGAAGCAACACTCTGCCTCCTGGGGAGTGGCTAACCTTCATGACGGGTGTTTACCTGCTGATCCCTATTTGAACCTGTTCTACAGCTTATAAGCTGTTTTTCTTCCAAATTTGTTACTGTGCTGCAATGGCTCTGACTATCTACTATTCCAGCGTCAGTGGCTCCAGAGAGGTAGAGCACCCATTCACCTTTTTGTGTACTTTTACTTTTATATAGATACAGCTTTACAGACTCAAGAGACTATACCTTTTCATTACAATCCATAATATGGATCTTGATTAGAAATGTTAGTAGGATACAACTTTGCTGTATTTTAAGAAATAAAGTGCGTGTCTGGTCCCAGTATTTCTAAATTTTTGCCTGTTATTTTTTGTTTAGATATGTGGGGGCATATTACTAGGCTGTTCTGCAAGACTGTCATGTCAAAATTAGTTTTGATGGTACTTAAGTCTCCCTTACACATTGTCTTTTTCCCTACTTACTGTAGGTAAAACAGCAACAAACTGAAATCTTTCAGTATCTGGACTCTATGAAAATGAAATACAAAGCTTTGGATATTGCTGTAAGTAATGACATAAAACAGGAAATGCGTCAGAAGACTGGCAATCCTACAGCAATGCCACCTCAGATCTTTAATGGAGAAGTCTATTGTGGGGTAGGTGACATTTTTTTCATTATATCGACCATTCTTCACAGATTATGCATGGAATCTATGTATCATGTAACCTGATACATACCTTTATTTTTAGAAAGGTGCTGATCTGTCTTGTACATACAGTATCATTTCTTTTACCTGCCACATAGAGTATATGTTAGCTAAAATAGTGAAAACTGAATAAAGACCAGATTATAAAAATGTGAAAGGACAAAAGACTAGTATTTCTTGTTCAGGCAAGTTTCCCATTCTGAGGTAATGAATCATATACCATGTCAAATAGTCTAGCAATGTTCTAAACTCTTTTTTTGTAAAACAGAAATAGTAATAGCTATAAAAATATTTATAAAACAATCTAGTTCTTCCTTAAATTTCCATTTCTTTTTGTCAGTGATTTACTTGGAAATGTACGTCTGCTTAGTATTTTTTCCCTCTCTCTTGTTTTTTCACTATTTTAGTTTTCTTTTATTCATCTGTTTATATAATTTAAACTTACATATAATTTATACTGTATATATATATTTTCCACTTGAAAAGAATGGCAGTATCTTCCCTGGTCACAAAAAATATAGGAATCAGCAGCTGCCAAAAAATCACTACAGTCAATCAATTTCAAGAGCTAAAGTATGGGATCAAAGTCGGGATCTGGTTGTAATACAGAATCTTACTGATTCTATGGGGAGCAATGGATCAGTTCCCGTCACACCTCCCATAACCAGGGAACCTAATGATCCGACTAGCAGACTATATTCTAAGAGAAGCTTCACAGGAGAGGAGTCTCGAAGAAGTCCCAAAGCCAAGCCAAGAAACGAAAATCACATCACTGCCAGACCAGCTCTCTAAATGTTGAGGGGCCTGTCAGCAGCCAAGCCGCCACATTGAAGTCCTTGCTGCCCACCACACCGCTGTTATCATCTGCCTGCAGGAAACCCATAGGGGAAGAGATGAGGCAGGCTAACTCTCCCTCAAAAGTTATGACCTCTTATGCTAACACCCACAGGCAAAAATAGCCATGCCATCTGGAAATGACTACGTTTTCTAGCATCACAGTGACCGGTGGTTTAAGACTGGTCTTGGTCCATGTGTTGCCAGTCTCTCTAGATGGGGATCAGTGCCGCCCTCTTTGTTCCTGTGGGATGAAGCAAGCTATGCAGCACATCCTAAAGGACGGTCCTGACCACACCACTGGACCGGAAGCTATCGCCTAAATAAATACTGATTCAATACCCTCAATACATACTGTATACTGATTCAATACATGTGCTACAGTATGTGGTGCCTAAGGATATTCTTCCCTGATATCTTAATCTATATAGCCCATTTCATTTTATTTTAACACAAAACAAATTGTTCATAATCAAAGGCTTTTATTTTACTGCAACTATAGCATCTTTCCTCTTTTAAAATGCCTACATCAAGCTCTCTCAAAACATCTCTTGGAAGAGTTTCACAAGCTGGTAGAATCTTCACTTGACATAGAATTTGCTAAGTTCACACAAAACAATAAAACTGGTAATAAACCAAAAAAAACGACACAAGTAAAATGGGTTTTTTATTTTATAGCAGTGAGAAGTGCTAAAACAAATTAGGAAAACAAATTTCCCAAATGTGACAATAAAGCTTGAACTGATTGAGTTGTAGGGCCTAGAGCGTCAGTGATTGAAAACTGCATGCACAAAATATATGATGTTTGTTACTTATTGCAGTCATAACAAATGTCTCTTGATGTTCATGATTTTCCTTATGTTGACATAATGTAAATTTTAATGGTAAACGTGTGTGATTTCTTTTGTAGGACTATGCAATCTTCTTTCAAGCGCTGGAGGACAGGAAAGCAGATGAATTTTTCAAGTTGAGATCTTCATAAACTTGGCCCACATCAGGCAGCCTGAAAATGTGTTTAATTAGTGTCTGAATGTGAGAATAATGTTCTTTCAGTGCAATGTTGCTTGAAAACAACAATACAATCAAATAAAACATTTGTTCATTTTTACTAAGCTTCTTCTTCTAAATCAAGTACTGCATTTTGTGCAAATTTTGAGTGAAATTTACAATAGGATACAATAGAATATTTATGCATGTTGTTTTTGAACATTGAACTGCTATTCATATGGTTATGTGCATTACTGCATATATTTCTATAGTATGGTGGAAGATAAAAGTTCCTAGACGTCTAAGATAAATCACTGCAGCTTCCACCCTGGACAACAGAGTTCAGGTATAAATGCCTTCAAATTTATGGGAGGGTTAGAAAGGATGAGGGGCTGATGGATTTTTACAAACTTGAAGAAAGGTTTAAGCAAAAAATGACCAAGAACCGAATTTCATAGAATAGATTGACAACATGGATTTTGATGCCATGAACTCTCTGATGGGCGGGATGGCTAATTCTGAATGGTTGCATCTTACTGTATGTTCTTATGCTCTTCTAATGTCTTTGTACAGGGGATATTTGTATACTATATGTATGAAATAAAAAGAGACAGTGTCTGTTGGCAGTGTTGGAAAAATATTCTTTCTAAAAAGTCGTCCATTGGTTACAGATTACTTGTGTAAGCGATTAAAATTAACAAAAAGCTGGGGTAAAATACATTTTAAAAGTAATTTGTCACGATTATAACTCCCTCCTCTTACGGGCGCTCCAGCTCTTTCTTGTTTGTCTTTGATTTTTTGCACCTGACTCCTGTTCCAGCCCCTCCCTATAAAAGCCAGATGCTCCTATCATTCTAGGCTCAGCTTTGGAAGACGGACGCCCAGAAGCCCGCCTACCAGCGGGTCCATGAGTGGCCTGATGTCACAGGCTTCACAACGCCGTCCCGACCATCTGGGTCCGAGGCTTGCAGAGCCTGGCCCCTGTTACCCTTTTTTTATTCCCCATCCCTGCACCCAATCCAGATCCCACTCCATGTCTGTCATGGATGGATCACCCGGCTCCGGACTTTTGCTCACCCTGGATTTCCCTATGGACCCCCTTTGGACTTCCACCTGGAGCACACCCCCCTGAGCACCAGTGCACCATCGACACGCCCCCCTGTTCATCTACCAGCCCCGTTTCTGGTCTTATCTCCCCCGTGTCTGTTTCACTCCCTTCTGGATTCTGCCGTCTGCATAGAGTCCTGATAAAGGCTTTGTGAAATAATTAGTTACAGTGATATGTGTAGTGAGTATATACACTATTTACTATGTAAAGTAAAATTACATCTTAAAGCAATTTCCCTTATTGTTTTCTTAAAGTAATCCCTAACATAGGTAATTTATACATTTGTAATGGATTGTTATGGATTACTTTTTAATATTCAATTCCCCATAGTCTGTATGTATTCACTATACTGACACCTTTTCAAAATACTTAAATATTTGAGCAGTTGCTATTATATATCGGCACAGTGGTGCATTTGCAGCCTTGCAGCGCTGGGGCCCTGGGTTCGATTCCAAACTTCACATGCTATCTGTGTGGAGTCTGTATGTTCTCCACATGTTCATGTGGGTTTCCTCTGGGTGCTCCGGTTTCCTCCCACAGTCCCAAAACATACTGGTAGGTGAATTGATGTCTGGGACAATTGGCCCTGGTGGGAGTGGGTGTGTGTCTGAAATTGATAGATGGGTCTTCCAACAATTAGCATGCCTTCCTAATTTTTAAACTCTCCACATAATTAAAATCTCACTTTGGTGTGACAGGGAAAGGGAGCTTCTAAATAATTGCTTATTAATACTTTATTGATCAGAGAGAGTATAAGCATAATAGATATATACAGTACATTAATTCATATAGGATAGTTTCAATGCTTAAATATGGGTACAACATGAATCAACAAAATATGAATAATGAAATTACAATTAAGTAAAAGACTTTTATTCATCTTTTCTTTTTTGGTGGTGTTGTATCTTTTGACATAGAGGCATTTCACAATTCCAACAATCACAGTTCCAGAGATGGGAGCTTCACAACATTAAGCTCCAGTAATTAATTTAATTTCTTAATTTTAAAGGCAACATACAACAAACCTGTTGTATCTCAACGTCACACGTTAATATACAGTATACTAAAGAGAATACCCAGATCTTTAACAAAAAGAGAAGGTTAAAGCTGACAACCCAGGACTGTAGAAGAAAATTAGTTCCACACCTCTTTTAATCTTTACTGAAGATTTTAAAAAAACTAAGCCTGTGCTATTTTTTAAAATTAAATGGCTATTTCACAGAATAAGAATATACTATATTTATGCTGATATAAGAGCTATAGGAATATAAAACAGAACACATGCATACATGAAAATGTGCACTCAGTAAAAAGACAAGCCTCAAAAACACCCTTTTGCTCTTTGCTCATTCAGAGCAGCTGAAAGAAGTGCATCAAGATCATTCCTTGTGTTATTGGAGAAATCTGGAGGAGTTATCTTCCATAAATTACGGATATTATCAGCCTTGCAGGGATGACCGTGTCCATGGTCCTTAGTCACAGCAGAACAGATCTGCTTACTAAACATATCACAACTCTGTCATTGAATCCTGGCATAATGTTTCATTTTTTATGTCTATAATGCCATCACCACAAATCACCTGATACATGCTTTCATGGACATGACCTTGTGCATCAACATGGCATAGATTTAATACTTTAAATTAGCCATTTCTGTTGAAAAAAGCGAACCATATTACCAGGTGGTGAAAAATAGCATAGTCGATGAAATAGCATAGCAGGGGTCCTGTGATAATACTAGTAAAATATAATAAAGGAACTTTATGTACATAATTAAAAACTTATACTTCATTTAAAGTAGAGCTAACATATTTGTGCTCCATTTCAGAGTCATTTCAGAGCTTCACCAAATTGAAAAGAGATATTAAACCTGATTTATTATTACATATTACGTATAAGAGTGTGGCGGCAGGAAACAAGTAATGTACAAGTGTTACAACACTAGAGAAGTGTCCCTTACAGCACAGAAACAAGAGGTGGCAGCACTGAGTCATTCTTTCAATTCAATTATCATGCTAGAAATCGTTTTTATATAAACGTTTTAAAAAACAGACTTCTATACGATTGGTATTATTAATTTATTTGATTTAAATTTTTATGAAAAGCACCTTTTAATGTTAAAACTACCGATTTTCTACAGCTTGTTTTTTTTGGTAAAAATCAGGGTGAGTGCATGCTTGGGTCAAGCACGCAGAAATGTCTTCTCCTCGCGTTTAAGCCTACATTGTTTCTACGGGTTAAAGCATCTTTTCTGCTTTGCCTTAGAACATCGTGTACAGTCATAGCTTACCCTTGTATGTCACTCCCTTCTTTTAGACTTCTTCCCAGTTGCTGCTGGAGTGCTGTAACACTCCTTCAAAAAAGTCTCTTAAGATCTAAGCTCAACATACTAGTTCATCCCTTAATTTTACCATCATGCTGTGTAGCTTATGATGTGGGATAAGACCCTTACATACATAATTCATATACACATTAAATAAAGTATATTCTTTACAGGGCTTTATACATAATTTAATAATGACATTTACAGTATGAAGTAACAGTTACAGCAAGAAGGCCTTTTAAAAAATATATTTTCCCTGAAGAGGGCTGAATTCAATCTGTCATGCAGGGAAATTTGTCCATATCTCAAAAAACTCAAAGATCAATGGTTTACATGCAGTCTCACCTTGACAACAGTTTGCATACTATATGCTATCCCATAATGTTTGCATAGGTGTATTGACAGTACAGTATGTACAGTAGTTGCTAGTGGTGATACAGTGACATTACTGTTGTTAGTGCTTCCTCTATAGGTTAGCATCAACTTCCATCACCAGACCTATCAGTCAAGGAGTTCCTGGCTGCACTGATAATGGAGAAAAAAGTCATGCAGGAAAAAATTAAATAAGAAAACGTTAATGTGAGATGACTGGCTTACAGATGATTGATTGAAATCCAACTAGACTGGAGGCTCCAGAAAGTGGCTCCAATGCAATGCAAACTTCTCCTTTTGATTTTGAAATACACACATATTATGTGTCATGGATATGCTTAAGTATTAATCACATTTACCATGGTTTCCAACATGTTGCAGGGAGATTCCTTTTGTATGATAAGATGACCTTCGAAGTCTAACCTGATCAGATGTCTTGATTGCAATATTTAAAGAATTGTAGAGTTTTGTTGGTTTGCATGATTAAATATTCTTCTCAATCAAGCAATACATGCATGCTGGTATAGTCTGGGTCTTTTTCAATCACTAGAAAATTCATAGATAGGATCACAATTTGTTTTTTTACCGGAAAAAAAACCTAGGGCTGCATTTGACAAAACAGAGGAGTGTCACAAATTAGGCTAATAATCATTGTCATGAATCTGTCAAGTTGAGGTTAACTCCATGCTGAAAACTGAAAAAACAACAAGCAACACCTAAGCCATGTGAAATAAATATTTAATGAGTGCATGAAGTCAGAACACTCAATACAAGCTTACCTGAACAGATACTGTAAATACATCCATTGATTTCCCACAGTGCCTAGGGTCTACTAAATTTTAGGTGCCTAAGAAGGAGAGAAACACTAGTGAATAACGAAAAACGAGCTGAAACAACATGCTTGCGATCAACTCCAGGTGCTCCAAATCAATAATCATACGCTATCTAGCGGCTGTTCTAGAAACTAGAATCAAAGTGATGGTCACTCGACTCGCTCCATCAATCATGTGGTTTAGAATAGTTTAAAGTGCACCATGTCAATTGATGTAGCTTAATTGGTGTTCACCCCTCTTTTTGCACGTTTCGGAGTGGAAGTGCCTAGGGCCTACGAAACACCGGCCCTGTCGATCACTCTTCTTGTTTCTTTCACAAAGTCTTGGGTATCGTGGACAGAAGCAATACTATCCTGAAGGCAGCCACTGTATCATCATACAGGTGCAATTTTCCTCCCAGCTGTGTGTCTTTGCCTGGATCATATTCCACTGAATCAATATTACAGTAGACATTTCAGATGGCAAATCAGCATGCTATGAAGTACTAGGGCTTTAAAAAACATCCTCAGCACTCATCACAAGCCCTGGTTACTCCTTGGAATGCTTTGATTGTGCTGTCTAGAATATTGAGAACGGTGTATTTTAGGCTTTTTAAGAGCAGCAGCATCAAAAACCATTAAATGTTGTTTTCATCCCTCGCAGAACATAATGCAACCCTTTTGGACTATAAATATCCATTCATTCTCAACAGTTACTTTGCATTAATAATTCAGCACGGGAAATAACAATTGCTGTCTTCCTCCAAACAAGTGAACAATTCTGAAGTGGGAGTTTTATTGTAGAGGCAGACATTGTATTACTGTATATATACAGTATAATATATAATTTATATATACAGTACATATTGTAAATGAGCAGGAGCAGATTCTGGTTTGTCAGGATAGGGTCTTCACTAAGCTCTGAACATATACAGTAAACATGCCATCTGAAAGCTACAGTACATGACCAGCCCACATTAGTGTCAGTTCAGTCTGTTTTGTCTGGAAAGTTCACAATTTCTTTGATTGAAAGTATAAACTTTTTTTTAAATTAGATCACTCTTTCAAAGCTAATGAAGTATTACGATTAAAAAAACATGTTATCTCAAGAACATTTATGAATGAGAGTAGGCCATTCAACTTATTCGGTATTTAACAGCTAATTCTTCAGTTCGTGCAACTCTTGAAAGCAGCAGGGCTTTCCTTTTATATATCTTTTGTACCTAACAATTCTCACTGCCAGCTAATATGAATGAAAGCATGTGGACTGTGGCATCTAGCAAATACTGTTATGTTGAAGTAATGACATTATTTTTATAGTTTTCAGTATGCAAATTCAGGCAGACACTAGAGAAAAACAGAATTATGGTATTAGGTCAACTAAAACGGATAACTAAGACCTGTCATTTTCATGTAGATTTCAGCTCTCAGAAAAATATTTCACCACAGGCAATGTTTACTACACAAAAAATCATCCTTTTTTAGAGTAAAGCATGAGCTTAACAAACTGCCACATTTACAGACATCAAATATGACTGTGCTCTGAAATAAACAGCAGAAACTGCCTCCAGAGAGAAGCAGATGAATAGGAGTGGAAAACAGAGGCTGTTTTACCAGGGGGAAGCATCTCTCTTCCTGTGCAGATTAAAAGAGGCAGATGATTCAAACTAGATATTAAAGTGACAATGCAGTTCACGATCACTTTATCAAGATAAGTACTTATACGCAATGCCCTGAAATATTAATTTAAAAACCACTAAATTCTCAAAATGGCAAACTTCCAGTTCTGAAAGACTTTAACAAAAGTGCCTTGGTCCCCAGTAAGGGCTGTCTTTCTCGTGATGAAAAGAAAATGATGTCATTCTAAATCTTCTTCATACATACTTGTCTCTACACAGCTGCATGTGTTTGATGGAGCTGCACTATTACAATGAACCTGAGTAAACCAGAAGAGTTGAGGATGACTTCTAATACTTGTGTTTGCCACCATTACGCATGCAGATTTGTCCATGAACATGTCAAAGTTAAACACAGCCAACAAACTGGAGAAACTGGACAGGAAATGTATCTGAAAGTTGAGGTTTCAAGTGCATGGATTCTAGCAATCCAGTCAGGTCTTCATACCAATGTGGTCGTCAAGCACAGTATACAAGGAACAGATCATCAAGATGATGAGAAACACAACATTTAAAACAGAAGTGCAATGTTATTTATGTGTGTGTATTATATAATATATTCTGATTTATTTTTTACTTAATTCATTGAACATACAGAACACGTGAACAGTCATGTTAAAAAACATTATGCACATAGGGCTACTATGCTTACTGTGCTAAACACTACAGTACCCAAGATATTGCACTATTTAATACAATTTATCTAGTTTCTATGATACAAGTCCTCCACATTGGCAGTCAGACCATTTACAAAAACATTAGTGGCACAGTACCCAAAGCTAATTAAAATATTACACTGCTGCTGTAATTCAGACAATGACACCATGTTTAAGGCACACAAAACGTTCCCAATATTAACAATGACAATTATGTACCCATATATGTATACATGCATACATGGTATGGACAACGTGAACTATTAAATTAACAGCCATACAGAATGCTGCTTACATGCAACACTGCACGAACAAGCCAAAGAACATTAAAGATACGAACAATTGTATATTGCAACTATTGTATATTAGGATTGCCGCATACAGGTTTTATAAAATCAATGAAATACAAATAACGTGTAAATAGTCCATCACCGTTCACAGCAACAATATATAATGCATTGCATATTGTGGTCTGTAATAAATATACACCACTGTATATATCATTACATAGTTTAGCTACTTTTATCAATAAACATGGAATACGGTTTATTTTTTATTTCTATATTTGTTAAAATTTGCACAGTGTGGTTAAACCATGTCTGGTCTTTGGTATTGTCTACAGGGTTATAAAAAATGTTACTGCTCTCCTATACTGTAGTTTTGAAGTACAGTCTCAGTGTGTTCTACTGCACAAGACAGAGGATTTTTTCTCACAAGAAAGAAATGATTGCAGATTCAAAATGCATCATGCAAACAGGTAACTGAACCTGGGGAAGATGGGGAGATGAGGAGAATGCATGGAAGAACATATTTAAGGCTGCAAATAAAAGGAGGTCATTTGGCCCAGAATGCTAACCAATTGCTATTGCTATTGCTATTAATGGCAATGCCAATACAAGGCTTTGCCCTGTGTGCCTGGACATTTCTCTTGACTACACGGATAATAATATTTATCTTTGAGAGATAAAGCTGCCACAACTGGGGCTCTCGTCTTAAGCGTCTCATAGGTGGGTCTATCAGTTTAAATCTAAACTATATTGAAAGATTTGTCGATGATCCATGAGGCAGTTAAGAGTTATGATCATACAAGTGGGCTGGCACAGCTTTTGGATGGTCCATTAGTTCTGCGCAGCTTTAAAGTTTAGGGGCAACATCTTAATGATCTTAACGACTATATCCATACAGCACAGCGGATAAAATGAGGAAACCTTAAGCACCTTGGAAAATTAAGAAAAACATGCATTGTCACTAACTAACCTGTGATGGTCTGTGATTCTATAAGAGAGCAAAATAACTAACTTTAAAATAACTTTTGTGCCTTATTGCTCCACATCACCACTTCCCAAGCAGGTGTGAGGAAGTTCACAACTCACTGGGACTGATATGTAGCTTTTATCACCCAAAGTACCTCAACATACAGTACTTTCTAGTTTATGGGGATTTTCCATACTTTATAAGTGGATGCTGCGATAAAAAAAACTGCAGGAAGTCATGAAGTGCTGCAACTGAGCGATTAGGTAAACTCCAATTTGGTCTGAAGAAAACTGGTGAGGGCCTATTCTGTTTGTGGTAATCAGCAGTTCCACTGAGCAACCAGTCTGTACACAATGTGTGAACAATGGTGCTATTAGCGTTAGGATCTTATTATTATATGTTACATGGGAAAAGCTCAGCGGCCCTGAAATGTGTAAACTGAGTCATTCAACCATGACATTTTAATAGGAGAATGAAAGAAGATTGATGGAAGCACGACAAGTATTTTCACTTTAATTTATGGCCTCTGTGTTAATATACTGCAGTGTACATTTGATACTGCCTACATTTTTTCAAACTGTTTTCAGTTTATTCACAGTTACACAACTGTGACTTCCTCGTTCAGTTACCCCAGATGGAAAATGCATGGCTACAATTTTGTCATACAAACACAGTTAACAGAAAACCAGAAACAGAGGACTTCATCCACATTCAGAGTAAATTGTAGAATTTGAACATCAGAAAAAATCTTTTAGCAATGTCTTTTAGCACCATACATTCTGTAGGTGACGTAATGGGGAGCTGCATCAGCAGCCAGGCTACAAAGGAACACGTAGATGTTAATTCCTTGCTGAAAAGTAAAAATAAAGAAAAACCAAGTATGAAAGTTAATTTCATATAGTAAATGTAAAGTAAATTTAAATGAAGTAAATTTCATTCAGTAAAATGTTCTTTTACAGTTTTCCCTTTGTGTTTAGATTTTAATCTTTTCATGTTCCAGCTTGTGCTTCTTGGAAACTTTTTTAAAAGGAGCATTAAAAAGATTTGAATGCACTCAGCTTTCAGAAGCAAAACGGACTCTCTTCTTGCCTATTTTAGTCAAAGCCCTGCTCTATACCCTATAATTAGAGATTACACTACTGATTTAAGTAACAAAAGATCAAAAGATACTTTCTTGAGCCAAATCAGGTCCCTTATATAAGGCATGGCTTGAAAGCACTGGTGTTCAAGTTATCAGCAAAAAGCAAAGGCCAGATTCAAATAAAATAAGTATGAAGATCTGTAAAAAAAACTCCCATCATCCATGGCAGAGCTCTGTCTCCCTCGGGCTTTTGGCAGGCCGAACATTGCAATGACATTTGGCAAAGCAGCAGTGGCTTGGTGATTGATCAGGTAGGAAAAGAGAAGAAATGCCGAAATCCCAAGGTCTTCAACAATAACAATTTCAACATCTAAGATTAAGAATCCTGTGGAGATAAAAATAGCATTAGATCAGCATTCATTCAAGCAACACAAAATATTTTCAAATACACAGAGTGGGGGAGGGTCTTGGTTTGGAAATTTGTCCCCCAACAAACCATAAAATATATAGAATAACACACATAATGCAGCACCTACTGTAACAACAGACTATTATTGTGCTTCTCCCAGCTGACATGTTTAACATTTCACGTCAAGTACTCTGGTTAAATTAGTGTTGAAACCAAATAAAAGTAGCCTTTTAAAAATAGGAATACTCACGTTTTTCTTCCCCCAAAAAACAATTATGAAAGATTGCAGTCTTAAAAAGACAAAACAAAAATAGCTTTCGAAAATGCAGCAAATGCAGGGGAGTACTGGGTTTCATGTAGTGAAAAATGTCTTTCTCCTCTACAAGGAAGTGTCAAATGTCAAATGGCTGGAAGTGCATTCAAATCAAATTTGCAGGACACACAATTTTTGTATGGCATTTTATAGACCTACAGTCAGCATATATAACTTTGGTTAATTCAATAGAACATCTTATGTACCCAGCATTGCTAGGATGAATCAGCATTCAACAAACTTTATTTAACAAAGTTTATTGAGAACGTTACATTCAAAAATAGGCATACATTAAAAAACAATTATACTGATAAATTTTAAAAAGTTTATTATACTGATCAATCACTTCTTTTCAGATAACAGAGTGCCATTACGTGTCTGCAGCTATTTAGAAAAAAGGGCATAGCAATATTACCTAATTTTCAAAAGTGCAATTTAACATCCAATGCATTTCACATTTTAGTGTTCAGAGTAAAACATTCAAAGCAATATACAGTAGATCTTTTCCAGAGCAAATGCATTTAGGGTATTGGATTAGGGTAAAATAATCCAGAACTTCTGGAAGATGCCCTTAGTTCTCAAATTACTTTGAATGTTTTATGAATATCATCATGGCTCTTGAAATTACTACAGCGTGAAGTTACTGGAAATTGGGATATATAGCAATGAAGATATTGGAAGTTCCTCCACCATTAATTTGCCTGGCACCTTTACCCTAAGTGACATTTGTATTTTATTTATTATATTAACATTTATATAGCTGGACATTTTAGTGGATTAAGTCACGAGAAACACTTTTCTCAAGTGTACAGCAGCAGTGGGATTTTAATCCACAACCTGCCAGTTACAAGACCAAGCCCTTAACCTCTAACCTCTACTCCCACTCCTCTGTCCATTCATTCATTTTCTCAACTACAAATAATAGTGTTAAATGTGACATATACTGAACTTCTCATTCTGAAGGATCCCAAACAGCCAGCAGCTCATTATACAGCAGGCGGAGGAGTGAGAAATTATACGTTACTGTAAATTACACTACAAGGGCAAACTGGAAATTCACCTTCACCGACGGCTGGGAATTCAGTCCTAAGAATGAAAACACAGTGTTGTTCTCTTTCGATTGAAAGAAATCTTCATAGTCCTGAAATGACAGAAAAAAATCTAAATCAAATGGCTATTTTTTAATTTTGTAGAATAAGCTAGTTTATTTTCAACGAGCTAAGAATTACACAAATACAAAAAGCTAAAAGGCATGATCATGACTTAAAAAGCCTAAACTCTTCCTACTACAGAAAATGAGCCATGTTAAGCGACTCTTAACTCTTGCAGATCAGGCCACTTTTAAACTCATGAATGGAGACATATTGTCCACCTAAATTGAATTATATTCCCGTCTCTTTAGTTCAGCAGCTAACTAGTCTAACTTGCCTTTTCCAGACACTAAACTCAGACAGGCCTGTTGAAACTGAATCTGGCACCAAAGAAATACCAGAGTTTAACAAGTTAAACATCTGCAGATAGAGTCATGGAATAAAATAACCATGTCCTGTCCTGATGTATTATTTTACAATTTCAACCATTAGGATTACAGCAATGATTTCTGTAAAGTGCAATAGTCTTTGGCACTCAACCACAGGTTGCAACTGTCTGTGCTGCATAAAAAACGCTTTGGGTCTTGTAAGACTGCTACAGATCACTTTTATAGTTGTCAGAATTAATGTACAGCTCCTGTGTTATCAGGGCACATTTGCCTGTCTCTGCATATGGTTTGAATTATAAGTATTCAGGTGAAATTTTACCAATGGATGTTAAGTCTACATGGTTTTAAAGAGACTTCAGAACACCTATAAGATCAGAAGGAGCAATAAAAAAGCCAAGCATGTACTGTACAGCGCCATCATAAAGCACTGGAACAGTGAAGGCTAAACTGGAATTTTCACTATGAATTAATTTCAGATGAAAAAATGACTGATAAGTACAACGTCTAAGTATTTTATTTTTAATTAAGTCAATGACATTTTGCCCGTCAAATTGTTTGACGTTAAAATAACAGGTTTGACTGTTCAGACACTATCTGGTCTCCAAAAACGGATCAGAACAAAGTCCTCTCTTGATGTCAAAGGCAAATAAAGGTTTTATGACCCACAACTGGACACCTGGACTGTCGCATAATGTATGTATGAATAATTTCAGAATTATTTTAATATATTCATACGCTTAGAATCTTTATTGTATGTGTCATACCTGGTGGCATCGACTACCTTTTCCACTTCATTTCTTTTTATTTTGCAATTAAACAGGCTTTAGTACTTCTGCACAGAGGGGGTTAATGTTTTGGTGGCGTGCTCTGGGAATGACACATTGGACAGGACAGCCAGCCCTGCTTGTGCAGCAGCACAGACAACATACTGTTACAACTGTCAGATTAGGCTTATAATACAATACTCTTACTCAGCATTGATTCAGTGACTAATGCGATTCCAGTTCCCACATGGAACTTTTTGAGAACAGCTGAAGGTTCATGATGAAAGACCATACTAACACCAAATTAATTAGTGCTTTGAAAAAATAAACAGAAAATATAACCACCACTTGTAGAATGTAGATTGTTGTTGGCTTTTATCAGTAGTTTATCCTCTCTGATTATTTATATGTGTTTTAATGTGGACAAAACGTTTTTATTGTCAGTCCTGGCTCCAGAAGGTATTTTTTGTAGGAGATGTCTGGCAATAAACTGGAAAGATGAACAGATTTAACTTTACATATTTAAGGTCTAGCAGTGTGTGACACTTTGGTATTGTTCTCAAGTGTTGATTTGAAAGATGCCTCTTTAACATTCTGCAACAGTGCAGTGCCATTCCACTGGAGGAAATGTGCTTAAAGTTAGTTTTACTGCTGGAAACCCTGCCACTAAAAGAGCTGACTATATAGGGAATTAAATACCCCCAGATAAATGTATTACTAGGAGTGAGTCTCATCAAGACATCCATTAACAAAAATATAGCTAAAAGATCTAGAGAAATTAATTAAAGTGATTAATGCAGAACTATGTTTTAGAAAGCAGAAAAGCATGACAATTTACCAACAGTTTGGACCCCAGGAATTCATCAGATTTCCTCTATATACTGTAGGTAATAACATTTCCTAAAAATAATAGGGAAATAATTTAAATAACATTAACGTTAAAGTCAGAACAGAAAGTGGCATTCAATATTATTTTTCTTCACTCTTGATTAGAAAAAATGAGCATACGCATATAAAACCCCTGCTTGTCCTCCATCTATAAGATAATTGATCAGGGTTTTGAGACAAGGCCACTGCATTTTTCAGTTCACCCGCTGTCAAACAGAAGGGCTCAGCTTGAAACCTAATCCTATTTCATTCTGGCACATGTCGCTGCCTTGATCTCAATACGCTTAACTTCACTGCGGTGCTGGAACTATCCAAAGCAGGGCTCTGGGATTAAAATGTCACAAGAACAAGTCTCGGTTCCATTCGCTTTTCAGCCAATGATGTCTAGCCATGCAACAAGCCATTTATTTTCCATTTTCCTTGCTTACCCCACAGTACTTTTCGTCTTGAAATATCTGAGGTGGGAGTGGGTTCCCTTTCTCTGGGAGCTTCTCTTTGGGAATGTTCTTGTACATCCACAGTCTCTGTTCCTCCACCATGGTTATATCCACTTCTTCAAACACAATCTTGTTGGCCTCCAAGAACCCCACCACATCCTGCTGTCTCTTCTTGATCTGCGCAAACAACACATATAGTTTGGTCTGTAAGACTTAGCGATCCAGAAATTAGTTTCTTCCCCACTTACACATATGAACTCCAGCGTACTCTGGCCCTAGACTGACTTGTCAGCAAAGATATTTACCAACATTTTCATGCTGCATTTACAGAAGGGTGCTTATACAGTCTTATGTCTGATCTGTGTTAGGAATTAGAAAACGCAACCTGTGATATTATACCAATTGCCTCTACGTCAGTGGTTCTCATTCCTTTTCCTAGACAACCCTTGTGTCTATCAGTTTTGTTCCAGCTTTTGCCATTTTTTGGTTTGTGTAAACTAATCCACTTGCTTGTTAGGCCTTTTTTTCTGTCCTCAGACCATAATTTGAAAATTAACATGGCTACATACATTATTGCTAACACCTCCCAAACCTTATGTGGTCTCTCCTCAGGTTATTAGTCAGAAATAAGTTGCTCACTTATTTCTGACTAATTCGGTCTTAAAAGGCTATCAGTTATTGATGACTAGACTGTGTTTTTGCTTCTGCTTAAATCCAGTTGGTCACATTTCAGCTAACACATTTCTGAAAGTCACTCATTCATATAGGCCTGATACCAATTACAAATCCCTTTCAACCTTTTAAGAGATGAAAGAAATGTTCAAATTAGACCTGAAATAGACAACTGAAATAAATTAGCAAATACAAAAACTTAAACGGTAAACTTTTAACTGTTTAACATGCTATTAAAAAATAAAATAACAAAAAATACTTTAAAGGATAGTTTAGTGTTACATTAAAGTTCTGGCCACTTCTGGATGCAGTCAACTTTCAGCACAACAAGGGCTATGTGGTTGTCATTACAGTGTCTCAAACTGGCTTTAAAGCAGTGAGTACAAACTGGGGTTGAAAAGAGGACTTCTCCAGATAGAAGAGCCAGTTGCTATTTTCAACTTCTCCAGACAAAACATGCATTTGCTTGTTTAGTTATAAAATCAACAGTGGACTCCAGCTTGAAGGCAATTTCCATTTTCCTTTTTTGGCAAACATTTTAATAAAAAAAAAAGGTCTCCTTTTTTGTAAATTCAAATGGAAATATACTGTATATACTGTATACATATATCTTTGTACAAAGTACAGCATTTTCTCTAATTCTTAGTTTTAGACTTAATGTTTGCCAGTCCATTCATACTTTATTTTTACAAGAGATGATCCTTCGAGATAAGTTCAGATGTCTTTGAAACAGATAGCATGAGATCCAAATAATTTCACATTTAGTCCTAAAACAAAACAGACACGTCTAGACATGAAACCAGTAACACACAGTGTCCTTAGCCTGTAGAGTATTATTTTATTGCTGCTGACTCAAAACAGGGAATTCAAAGATTTTTTTTATGTGGAGAACAGCTTGTGTTCATAAGTCAAATGCAATAAAAACTCTCAAACATTTACTTGCACTGCAGTAATACTGCAGTAGAGTATTTCTTTCTCACAGGTGGGGCTTGTGACAAATACGAAAGCGTTTGCCATTTGCTTTATGTACTGTACATCATGCTACAGATCCATAGAAGAAATCCCATCTTTTCCTTCAGTGAAGCAGTTTCACAGCTCATGTTGAGCTGCAAAATTTCATATCACCTCCAAAATCCTAAAAAACAATTTAGCATCTTTCCTCAGCTGTAACAGAGGAAACATCAATAATTATTTGGCTCTATTACCATGACCAATTGAGCCATATTTTCACCCTCAAATAAACCCACCATTTTACTCTGTGGTTAGTATTTATCCTCATAAGGCATTGACAAAGTTTGACAAAGTTTTAATGTTGTAGGATTCAGTACTGTAGTGTATCACTACAATTACACTGAAAAGTTTTGTACATTATGCAGAAAGTTCCATGGTGTCTTATTCACAGTTTTAAGGTTATCATATTTATGAAGGAATTTAATGTTTCTCCAATCAAATTGAGAAATACACCAACAGGCTATACATGTCCCATAAGGCAAATATAATCAGGTCAGTACTTACAGGAACAAAAACTCACACATGCTTCAATTAATCTAGCAATGATTAACTGATCAATTAAATGATCATTTAAATGAGCACCATCGAACATGTTTTCTCCCCAAAACAAAATAAATGTAAAACAAACATTATATTAATAGCTCTTAATGGTGTCTTCGAAGCTGGCACATTCATATGAAAACCATTATTCTGATGCTGAGCGACACATGAATTCAGTGTTTAAACTCCTGAACTGGGTGTGTTTCCTACAATGCCAGTTTCAAGCAGTGTCAGCAAGAGAGTTAAGGATCAAATACAACTGCTTATTTCTGCATGGCTGCTCTTGATACATCAAATTGCAGAGCTCATATTGTGTTATTGAAGCAATCTACAGTGGATATTAAAAGTCTACACATCCTTATTGAAATTGCAGGTTTTTGTGATGTAAAGCCAAAAATCAAGATAAATAATGTCAGACATTTTCCATCTTTTCCAGGGTGTGCACACTTACTGTATGCAACCTGGGTGTTGTAGTTTTTTTTTTTACTTCAGTTATTTTTCTTAATAATTATCTATTTGTTTTTCTCTTGAATTTTGTTGGTTGCAAGGTCACATTGCATACAATGTGACTGACCTACTCATATTATACGATGGATAAAACTGGACAATTGTATCCCAAGAAACCAAAATATTTATTTATTGCATCAATAATGCAAATGCTGGCTTACATACAGTGGATATAAAAAATCTACACACCCTTTTTACATTTATTACAGCAGTTTACTTCACAAAAACCTGCAATTTCAATAAGGGTGTGTAGACTTATATATGTAGACTTATATCCATAGTAAGAAAAGCTATTGACACAGATGTGTCTGTAACTGCACCTTCTGGTAGATCTGCACTGGTCCAAGCACCTGTGCTTTACCTTGTTAATGTGGATCTAGCAGATGGTATTTCTTCCCTGATTGGCTGAACCTCCACAAAGTGACTGAGCAATAGAGAGGTAAGGGGTGAGTAGGTGAAGAATTCACTATTCATTAATAATGGTACACAGTCATACACTCCTAAACAAAGTAAGAAAAGGCACTGCTGATCTTTAAATGACACCATTATTAAATCTAAATTTTTAATTTTATTATTTACACATATTGCACATCCTCATAAACTGGGATACATTCTTCATAGTTCTGCTTAGATATTTATTGGCCTTTTAATGTCACAATTCATACAGAATTCAAGGATTGTCAAAGCGGGTAAACAAGACTACCCAGGGAAAGGAGCCCCCCCAGTGTTCAAGCCCACTGTGAAAATATCACACCCCATGTAACGACTGTACACCACTCTCCATGTCGAAATATCTATTCCAGCTCAAATGATAGCTAACGACCTCTAGGCAGAATGGAAAAAAAAACCCACACAGCAGGATATGAAACAAATAAAGAGTTCTGTGAAACACTGTGAATGAATGACACTAAGGAGCCACAAGATATGTTCAAAAACTGTGAACCATTACTGTAAAATACAAAATCCTTTACTATGTATTGCATGGCAGGTGTGAAAATGATATTTTCTTTATGTTATATTTTTACCAGTATGATTCACAATTACTGTGAATTTTGGGATTGCACTAGATGATAATAATAATAATAATAATAATAATAATTGCTTACACTTATATAGCGCTTTTCTGGACACTCCACTCAAAGCATTTTACAGGTAATGGGGACTCCCCTCCACCACCCCCAGTGTGCAGCCCCACCTGGATGATGCGACGGCAGCCATAGTGTGCCAGAACGCTCAACACACATCAGCTATCAGTGGGGAGGAGAGCAGAGTAATGAAGCCAATTCATAGGGGATAGATGAAAGTGTCTCCCTGATAATAATAATGGCTGCTGTGACTAAACGGGCAGGTAGATTTGATTTTTCATACAGCTGGTTGTTTCTCCTCTATACCTATCCTCTACCTCAGGGGTCCCCAATCCTGGCCCCGGAGGACTGTCCGCACTTTTCTACATCTCTTTAAAGTAGAAGAATCTGAAAAACTGGCAGAGGCTGTTAAATAGGTCCAGATAATCCTGGTTAAAAGCACACTACTACAGAAACCAGAACCACAACAACAATAATAGTTTGCATATAAACTAATTTAGGACAGCACTTTTTTCATCTCAAACCATGTTACTCAATCATCAGTCATTCACCTGCTTAATTTGCAGGGAGGTCACAGGGTAAACTGAGAGTTTTGTAAAATGATAAATGTAAAACAGAAATTGCATTAGTCTACCAACTTTGCACACTGGGATGGTAAATATTGTCAGCCATTCGTCTTGTGCTTTGGGTGTCAGCTTTGTGGAATGACCAGGATATTGTTGCCTCATGGACATTTTCGTCAATCTTGGCCAGGGAACTCTGTAGCTCATTAAGAGTTTCCATCGGCCTCATGATAACTTCCACTGTCTTCCTTCCTGGGCTGTACAGCAAGGAGAGTCAACCTGATTTGGAAGTGTGTGGGTGCCTTCCACTTAATAATGACTTCACCATGCTCAAGGGGATATTTAGGGCCTTTCATTTCCTTCTCCTTTTCTTCTGTACCTTTCTACATCTTTATACCCGGGTTGTTTTAATAGCACATGGTCAAATCTTTGCTTGAAATCCACTGGCTGACTGAGGAACCTGACAGAGACAGCCATATTTATTCAGAAATCACTTGACCCACTATTACTGTACTCAGAGGCCACTCAACTAAATGTGTGACTTGGCAAAGAAATGTTGTGGCTTTGAACTAATTTAGTTTTGCTGTAGCGAAGGGCATGAATACTTATGCAATCAAAGTTGTAGTTTTTGATTCTTCTTCGCTCAAATTGAACACATTTATGGGTGAAAGAAATTAAATGTCAACTTTACTTCATTTAGATTGAACATATTCAGGTTAGAAAAACATTTATACGGCTTTTGCAATTTAGCAAAAATGGGCATTATCGAAAGGGAGTGAATACACTTGCTAGTGAAAAG